TGAGAATTTTTTGAAGCCTAGTTTTCAGCTTACAACTTCATTCTGAAAATGATTGATACTTATTTTTTCCAGGTGTTTTAGGGCAGTACTAACTTGGGATTCCCTGTTCTAAATTTTAGCCATTTTTGTGGAGGAGAGGGAGGTGATGCATTTAAGGTGAAAATGAATTGTGGCCTGAAATCCATGTAAATTAAGTCTTGTCATTAGAAATTCCTAGATAATAATTTCTTGTCCTTTCCACCCAAAACCAAGGCTATATAGCATGTGGTCTCACAGCCAAGCTCTGTCACTCTCATGGAAGTTTTTAAATCCTGATTTATGCTTTGAGGTTATTGTCCTCCCAGATTTTATGAGAGACATTCTTAGATCTTATATATCATTCAAACTAATAAATAAAGAAAAAAGGATACATAATGGAATACTATTCATCCATAAAAAGGAATGAAATCCTGTCATTTGTGACAACATGGATAGAACTGGAGATCACCAAGTTAACCAGAATAAAGCTAAGACACATATCATATGATCTCATTTATATATAGAATCTAAAAAACAAAATAAAACAAAACAGAAACAAAAAATGGATCTTCTAGAAGTAGTAGTATGAGTAGTTGGGGAGAGTAGGGAGGTGGGAGGGATGGGTAGAGGTTGATCAGCAGGAAACAAGTCATAATTAGAGGTTCTGGTGAGCTATTGCATAGTTGAGTGAGTATAGATAAGGATGATATACTGTATATTTCAAAAAATTAGAATATTTTCAACATAAAGAAATGATTGAGGGGATTGATATGCTTGCGTTGATTTGAACATAGTATATTACATAGTGTATACATATATTGAATATCACATGGTATCCCATAAATATGTGATGTTTGTTTTTATGCATCAGTAAAAAAAATCTTAGTTTAAATTTTAAAAATTTAAAAAGAGATAAAAACAAAACAAAAAACCCAGATTCTAGGCCTTCAGGAATTGCCATATTATCTATCCCCAAGGCAAAAAAAGGCTCCATAACTCATGAAAACAGTAAATTCAGCATTTGATTATTTGGGGATACAATGGAATTCTGTTACTTTCCCATCAGCTCGACCACACATTAAAAATATCTTTTATTTTGATTTTTTTTAGAATTTATTTTTGTATTGTGCTATGATTTGTTGGTATATCCTGGAAGCAGCTATCTCCTTATTCTTCATAAATCTTTAAGTCCTTCATAGGGTTCTTCTGTTGGGATTAGTTTTCCTTCATCCTCTGTTCAGCCTTTGTATTGCCCATGTTTAAAAACCTAGTCTTGATTTTTCATGGAGTTTAAAGAGATGAAAAACTGATGTTTTGCGGAGTCATCGTCTGCCGTCTCCCTTAGTCTGAAGGGCCATGGCTGTTACAGAATGACCAACGTTATCTTTGGACACCTTCTTCTCCGTAAACACATGCAAGGAAACATCGTACTTGAGACCACTTCCAAAGTGGGGGCTGGTTTGACTCTGTGAGCAGATTTGGGGGAATATATGTTTTTCCCATGAATATCACAACTTCCTAGGGTTGCTTATATGGTTTAAAAATCCTTCTGTGGTGTATGTGCATTTTTGGACACTCAGATTCAAGAATGCAAAGAGATTGACTTGTGAAAAATCCCAGAAAGATGTGTTTGATGCCTTCTGTTTCTCCATGTGTACAAATGATTGACATTTTTTTTTTCTGTTTATGCCATTTTCCACACTAGAAGCAGTAGTGGTAAAAGGAATGCAGCTCACTGCTGTTTCATAGAAGGTGCTAGTGACATGACTGACTTCCACAGGCAAACAGGAGCTTTAATAGTCTGGCCTGGCAGAAAAATCTTTTCAGTTTATTTCACATGTTTTAATGTATAATTTTAATTTTATATGTATGTGCTAGTCATTATTTTCTTTTCACAGTTACCTGGTTTTACAGAAACCTTTCATTTTACCTTGAACCATATATTTATGTAGGCTTCTGGTATGGTCACAAGACAGTTAAAAAATATGAAAATTCCTTGCTACTTAGAAAATGCCCCTGGCCACATTTGGGGGTAAAAGTGTTGAGGAATAGTATGCCAATTATAGACTACCTTTTTATAACAAACATACTCCAAAATTTTACACTTGTAATCAAATAAAAATACTTCTAGCATCAATATGCAGGATGGAAGACTACAGATCTATGGTTAATCAGTACAAGGATTTAATTATTAAGACTAAGAGGGAATTGTCACAAAGTTAAAAAAAAATCTAGGTAAGATTTTGAAACAGGATGGGAATTGATGGATTAGACAGCTGTTTTTCTAAAAAAGAAGCCTGAGGTGTAGTAATATTGTATGAATTGTCAGAAGTAAGTTTGGTATCAGTTAATTCTGGGATTTGGGGAAATATGTGGGAGAAAGAGTCTGAAAACTGATTCGGGTGAAATCCATTCAGGTTGTTAAAAGTTTTGAAAATGTTGCTAAGAGAGTATTATTAATGACTTATATCTGCAGCCAAGTGTTCAGGATACATCTGAGATGAATTGCCCTGGAGAGAATAGGAACTTGAAGGGATGTCACAAGCAGGTATGAGAGAGGAGAGAAAGATTTTAAGAGAGAATGGAGTTGAAATATCAAGGTAGAATGGACTTGAGACTTGGATCTATTAGTATGTACAAGGCTAAGACTGACCCCTTAAAACAAAAACTGAAATTGACTTTTCAAAACAGAGACCAAAACCAAACGATCAACAAACAACAGCTTCTAGTTATGTTAAGTAGGAAGAAATATGCAGAGATGGAGAATGTGAAAGAATGACATCATCAAAGAAAACGGAAGACATCAAAAAGAACATCTTAAGGAAATCCTCAACAATGTTTGTCAGACTGTTTTACTAACAGCCTTCACATTTGACACTCTTCATTATGGAGAACTTGCTAATTTAGTTAGTTTGGCCAAGAAGGAAGTTGTTGGGAAAAAAAAAAGAAAACAAAGATGGGAACTATAAATAGTAGTATCACATAAGGACAATGTTCCCTAAGCCAAACACATGACTTTATGTGAAAGTATGGAATATAAATGTTAAAAATTAATTTCTGTAAGTCCTTATTATTTTTGTGGTCATAAAATATGTCATGGCACATCGTGAAGGGCAATAGTTAAAAAAAAGTTCCTGTATCATGCTTTATTATCACCTGTGTGTTGCTCATAAATTTTAAGAAGTTCAGTACTATTCTTGAGGGTGATTGTTCTCTTGGAAAAAGAATATATGATCATATGATCAGGGAATTCTAAATGTAACAAGTATTGAGATAATGTAAACCAATTTCAAGGTTCCTGTGTTCTAACGTAACTGTGGGAGAAAGTTTAATCTTTGCTCTAAAGAAATTAATGTCATGAAAGGAAGTTAACATATACAATTAACATGGGGTCTGAGAGATCACTATAAGACAGAATGAAGCTTAGCTCTATGAGATATTTATGATTTTAAAAAATATTTTTTAAAAAATAGTCAGTGTTAATACTGACTATTGTGTAGTATAAACACAACTTTTTTCACATTCCATCTTTACACTGTCCTTTTTATTTTTTAGGAATTTATAAAAGGAATGCTTTTGGCTTTAGTCAAATATACATTTGAAACTTATAGTGCAGAACTAAAATAAGCATTGTCCTTGTGATATTGTGTGCATACCATATTACCAAAACCCAAGAGACTTTCTGTCACTGATTTCTTATAGAGTTTGAGGGAGATAACTCAGCAACAACCTCAACCCCTTTTTTGCTGATTTATCAAGATTACTTTAAATTTTTCTTCCCTGTTTTTTCAAGTTACTGCATGTAAAATAATTATAATGGATCATTATAAAGTAGACGTACAATCCATTAATGACTTTATGTATCAGTGTTACCTTTGGATTCTACCAAATGCCCAGAGAGAGAATGGCTCACTTATTCTGAGGTCTGAATTGTCTTCCTGAATTATTCCTTTTATCATTGATAAGTATTAAACAATTATGTAAGAAAAATCCATATTGAACATTGTTGTGTAATTGTGAATGATGCTGTTGAAGTTAGTACGTGGTACCAGTCTTTTAAATGATGTATGAAAAAAAATTTCACTAAAATAAGGTGGCTTTTCTTACTGACATTGTGAATGCTAGACTACTGTTTTTTTTTTTTTTTCCTCATTACTTTATATATTAGTCTTTCAGTGCTGTCTTAACCAAATACCACAGGGTCAGTGGCTTAACCAACAGAAATTAATTTTCTTACAATTCTGGAGTCTGGAGGTCCAAGATGGAGGTGCCAGTAGGGTTGGTTTCTTGAGGCCTATCTCTCTATATATAGCATGGAGATGATGACCCTTTTTGTGTGTCTTTGCATGACTTTATCTGTGGTGTCTCTTCCTCTTATAAGGACATTAAACTTACTGGATTAGGGCCCCACACTTTTGACCTCATAAAGTTTACTGTGTTAAAGGCCTTTTCTACAAATAATGGCACATTGAGGGAATTAAGGCTTTGATACATGGATCTGGGGTGAAGATGGTTCCATCTATAACAGTTTGGTAGCTAGGAATTTGAGAACCAAATCTGTCTGACACATAAAGTAACATCAGAAAATATTTGTCATTACTTTTCTACCTATATTTCCCCTATACCTGATTTTTTTTAGTTTCCCTTTTCATAGATACTGTATTTTTTGTAAACTGTTAAGTCTTTTTTTTTAAGACAGAGGACAAATAAGTAAATAAATAAATTATCATCTGTAATAGATTTCAAGATATTTGCTTACTGAAACAATTAGTAGGAATTGTATTTCTGGGTGCCAGAGATGCTGGGGTAACATTTAGCAATCATACTCCTCTTGGCATACTTACAAATTTATGTGTTTTGGTTTATTTTATAATAGAGTATTTCTCCCTTTTGTAATATAATAGAACTTCAGTGGAATTAAAATTTTACAGGCAGTGAAGTAGTTTTTCTTCTTATATCCACTTTTCTTTCTCTTATTCTAGAAAACTTCTATGAAAAAAGAGCAAAAACCTATCATTCTGGAACCAAAGCCAGGACCCAGGTAAATCTTTTATACGACAGCAAAAAAAAAAATCATAAGTGAAGGTGCTTATTTCTAGCATTGCCACTGTACTTTAGTGTCTGGGTTTGAAGAGGTTTAGGTGGTTAAGAGCCCAAGTTCTGATAGATGTTTTTCATTTTTGCCATTTTATTCAACTTAAGCAAAGAGAATAATACTTTTCTTCCAAGTATTTTGGTAATCAGGCAGGGGACCCAGCCTGATGGTATCTGGGTTGATGCAATGTGAATATTATTGCCCATGTTTAATCTGATTTTTGTTTATTAGAAGTTATATGCCTTAGTTCATTATTAGAAGTTATTTGCCATCTTTCAGTGATTCTTCTAGGGTATTCTTAGGTTGTTTGTACTTTATATACCAAATTTATTGATAAATTTGTGTAAATCTACTGATTTTAGATTGGAGGGTGAGATGAAAAGAAGGGATTATGAGAAGTTAATAGTGATGGATATTTCTGAAAAGGGCAGGTTTCACACTTGTGCTTTTTTATTCACTGGGAATATATTTATTTATTACTTATACATGATTATAAGTTGGAAAATGTAAGGCATACTTGAAAGCACTTGGGAATGGCGACATATAGATGCTGGAGAAAAGTTCTTTGATTCTTGAAAGAAAGGATGTACAATGGATGAGATGTATAAAGTGGGTAGATAATAAGCAGAATCCCTCAGCATTATTGGTATGAAGTATCAGAAGACTGAATTTGGGATTTCCAAAATGATTGAAAATTGGTTAGGGAATCTCACAAAGGAGAAAGCCACAGAGGAAGGGGACTTGCATATAAACTCTTCTCACATTCTTGGCTGGCTCCTGACCTGTGCATGCAAAAGAGGCTGTTAAAAAAAAAAAAATCCAGCCTAAAGCTGCAACTTATATAGTTTTCAATTGGTTCATTTGGTCACATCAAAAGAAAAAGGTGTCCGGAATGTTTGAATTTTCAATCTAGGACTTTAATGTAGCTTTTCTATTATTCATTTATATTTATTAATTTATTGATTGATTAATAAGATGGGATCTTGCTGAATAAGATGGGAATTGCCCAAACTGGCTTTGAACTGATAGTGCTCCTGCTTTAGCCTCCTGAACAGCTGGAATTATAGGCATGTGCCATTGTTCCTGGCTTAGAAGCTTCTTTAAATGTTTAAGAATTTAAGAAGATATTCATGGCAACAGGAAAGCTCTAGTGCAGAAACAGAAGCTATTAATAAAAGAATCAAATGAAAAGTCTATGTATAGAAAATTTGTACAAACAGTTAATTTGACCTAATTGACATATATAGAAACTATATCCAACAACTGTGGAATATACGTGTTTTTCAAGGGCATGTGTAACATGAGTTACAAAGAACAGAAAGCCATGAAATAGAAAATGGAGAAACAATAAAGCAATTAATAAAATAAAAATAGTTCTTTATAAAAATAATAAACTTTGTAAACTCATAGCACAACTGACTTTAAATAAAGAGTGAAAATGTGATTACCAATTTTTGCATGAAAGAGAAATCGTCACTGTGTATCTATAGATATCAGAAGGAAAATATCACAGTATGTGAAAATTGTCTTGCCAATTACATTCAACTAAGAGGTGATTTTTTAAAAAAAGATAAAATAGCAAAGCTGACATAAGAAGAAGTAGAGAATCTAAATAACCCATTTTGGGGACATTGGATGTTATCAAGAACCTTTTCACAAATAGACGTGGTTTAAAGAAAACAACTTTTAAGTGTCACATGTAAATTATTTCTAAAATATTGAATGGTGTTAAAAGCAACTTATCCACTTCTTTAAGTCTTTTGCCTACAAATATTCTTTTGGTTAGTTTGATTGGGACAGTTTTTTTTTCCTTATTGGTGTTACTAACTTAAAATCAGTACAGCCCTATCAATGTTACATAATTGTGCAGCCTCAAAGATGAGAATTTATTGTACTGTCGTTATTTGCCTAAACTCAGTCAGCTAATCTGAATTGTTAACATTTTTCCATATAGTCTACCATCTGTCATTGCAGGCATAAAGAGCTGTGGCCAAGTTTTGCAGGGATCTCTAGCTGCTTTTTCTTGGGATATCTAAAATATTTTAAAGGATGAGGATTGAAGGGAATTTTAGAGATAACTTGATCCCATTGGTCTATTTCCTTATTGAGAACAGAAAGATTCAAAAAGGTAAAATGACTTCTTTAAGATTGCAAAGTAAAAGAACAGAATTGTGGCTTGAATTCAACCCTCCACTCATAGTATAGTGAAATTCTTAGTTGTACAATTTTTATACCACTTGTATCTTAAATTTCAACGAACTTTCTGATGATTACTTGCAAGATATAAACTGAAACTTAGAATAGAATCATGGAAAAAAGAGAGAAAGAATGAAACCAAATGTGAAAATAAAGCAGAGTAGTGAACAAAATAGAATTGTGTGTGTTTGGAGATACACACACACACACATCAGTAAAAGACACAAGCATATATTTAATATACACACATACACAAGGGGATACTTTGTTGAAAATATTTAAGTGAATCATTATTATGATTCTCTTCTTTATTTGAAGTACTGTACCATTTTCTTCCCTAAAAATTCCATGAAACCTTAGAATCCACATCTTGGGACCCTCTGTAACTTGGCCTGGAGGATTTTTCTTGTTGGAGAGGAATTTTCCATGTATTTTCGGCTAGAGGTCTCCTTAGAGCCTGTGTGAGGCAGAGTATATTATAACCTTCCATCAGTCACCCGTCAACTTCAATAAAGTGTTGGGCAGTTTCTAAAGTACTTTTTGCATTTCACGGGTAAAAATATGTCACACATACATTACCATTGCTGGGTTACAGTAAATACCAGAGAGTCTGTTTTCCCCCTTTCTTCTCAGTTATAGAAATAAAAAGATGATGGAATTAATTTACACATACCCACCAGCTTTGCGGGAACCCTCAACGGTTGGCAAATAGGACTGGTTTATTCATCCACTCAGCAGTGTTTTTTTAAGGAGGCAGTCACTTGACTGTTAAAAGGTGAGAGTGGGAAATTAGGCAGACTTCAAGTGCGGCCGCTACAAGAGTTTCGAATTTCTGCAACTGTGAGCACCCGCTCCTATTCACAGTAGGGAATGGAATCTTGCCTTGTATGGTGATGAGTCAAAGTCCTGATTATTTCTGTCCTCATCTTCAGTCATCTCAAACCTGAAAGGAAAATGTTCACATTTATTTTGCTGTTCATCTTCCTGCTTCTTCAATGAAAATATTCATTTTAGTATTCAGAAAGGGAAGAAAAGAAAGTGCTGTACTGCCTACGTACATTTGTTTATATACAAGACTTTTCATTAACAGCATTATTAAACAAAGAGCTATAATACTAGAATCCCACATGTTGGAGATTAATGAGCCAGGTTGTAAAACCCACACAATGTATATTTGATTTTGTCCTGAAATATATACTTGTGTATTTTTATGAGAGAAAGATGATCATTTTGCCTTGAGTTTATGATTCTGCTATATAAATATGTATTATGTACACAAACATGCACAACATTTATAGAAAATAATTTTCATAGATGAGCATTTATAAAATGAAATTGTTTAATATCTGAGTGAAAGCCTTCATGTCCTTAATATTTCAATGCGAATGATGAATTTTGAAATCCTTTGAACTCCATAAGATTGTTGGAACTCAGAAGATTGTTGGAAATCCATAAGATTAAAATATGATTGAGAAAGCCCTCAACTACTTTTAAGGAAAAGGAAGTTTATGTGAAACTTATCAAAGAAAGCCAGTCAATCTCAGTTCAACCAGAATTGCCAAAGGAACGTTTTTCTAACTTTTATTTTTGTAGTAAAATACTCAAAGCAAAATATCTGAAAGAATTAGAGTCAAATGATGCCATTCTTCCATTTTAGTTTTTTTAAGATTATAGTATAAACCTTGATTTATAGATTATAGTATACACCTTAATTTAGGTAAAGATTCCTCTGATTTCTTCCTTTCCTCTTTAATCTCTTTATTCACTTCTTTATATGTAGTCCACATTTTCTTATTTTCATATGATATCTTTAGGTGTAAAGCAGCAAAAGAAGTCTATATGATTACATAAGGAGAACTAGAGTTCATTATCAATATTTAAGCAAAAACTGAATCAAGAGCTACATGGATTATGATTTAGTTAACTATTGAAATGATATTCATCTTTTATTTTGTATGAGATTTACTTTATATATAAACAATCTTCCATTTTGATTTGTTGAGAACCTCTAACTGTATTACAAAAGTCTTCATTTCTCTTCAGGTAAACTATTGCATTTCATGAATATAATACTATTTATTTTGACATTCTTTTGCAATGAGCTGTTAATCCTTTGCAGATTAATGTTATCAGTGATAATTTTTCCTTTTGTTCAACTTCCAAACCATTTTTAAAATGCCTGATTTTCAAGTATAGAATAGATCAATTGATGCACCTTTAAGTCATAGAAAAAAAACTTACTATGTTGATTTGTAGTATTAAATCTGTAGTTTTTCTAAGATCTGAGGCTGGTCATCAGCTTTTGATCTTTTTGGTATTTCATTTGCTTCGATTCTAGATTTTAAAAAAGTGTCAGCATTTAAATAGATCATCTCTGAAGTAATGTGCACTATTTTGATATTCTTAAGTTCATACTTTTAAAAAATTTATAATTCCAAAAATTCATATAATTCATGTAAATATGTAGATGAGGAATAGTGATATATTTCCTCCCTTATATATGCTTATTACACTTTTGCTTATTTTCATGGTATTTTTAATGTAAAGTATCAAAAGAAGTCTATATGATTAGGTAATAGAAATCATAGTTTAGACACTCATACATAGGTACGCATACTATTTGTAGGACCCCAGAAGTGAGGCTATTACATTTTGATTTAGCTACTTGTCACATTTTCCTCTGATAATTAACACCGTATCTTTTCAAGAACCCCTCCACCGACCATTGCAAACTATTTAAAATAGCATAT